AACAGACTGGCTGTGTCACCATGTAAGCTGCCATACAGGCTGCCTAAATGAGGGATTTATAAACTTATTCTGCATTTAGTTTCAGTTTACTCATCAAATCTATTTTTTACTAGCATTCGAAGTATTCTGTAGCCATGCTGTATTGTTGAATGTCTCTCCTGTTAGCAGTCAGCATGAATTCTTGAGAATATTGTTAATTGAGAAAAGTAGAAGGGACTTTACATTGGGGGAACAATTATGTTTATTTTCCACTTTTTATCTGGTTTTGTTCCAGAAATAGGTGATTTGTTTCCATAATGATACCAGCCTCCTTTATAGTGTAAATGTCAGTCTCTGTCTGTTGTTCCAAAAACAATCTCTGTTCCTCTTTCTCAGAGCGCTTTGACATTTTAGCTGTTGTTATCATGACTTCTCACTGTTCCTCCTTGACATAATAACAATTCTACATGCAACATCTGTTAGTTGTGTCTCATGCTGCTTTGAAAAACATTGATGATGCTTTTGCCATTCAGCCTAATATTTTAGCACCTTTGTTTTGTCACTTGTGATTGAGTTACAAGCATTGCTCCTTTTTTTTACCTCCACAAGTTTTGCTCTGTTTATAGTAAGAGAGAATGTACAATATGCTTTAGAAAAATATAAAAAGCCTCTCTTATATTATCCTCTGTAAGTACTGGCCAGTGTGGGCTGTGACCTCGTTAAGTGAACCACCAACAGCAACTTGTCTGGCATTTGGCTGTGTGTGGGCAGGAATTCTGAACCCTGGTTAGTAGATTTGAATGTGTGTGTCTCTCCATCAGCTTCCAGACGGAGATCCTGACGGTGAACAAGCAGTACCCCAGCGAGCCTTTCAAATTCCTGGAGCCAACTCTGAGGCTGGAGTACACCGAGGCCCTGGCCATGCTGCACCAGGCCGGGGTGGAGATGGGCGACGAGGAAGACCTCAGGTCAGAATCCATCACACAACTCTGCTGCCAAATCCCACTCATTCTGTCAGATGACTTCATTTGACAATAGCAGAAATACTTTTGGACATGAGGTTAAACAGAGGAAAGGGGACATCAGACCAAAAACTTGATTTTAACATTCAAGCCTTTCTTTGATCACGGCTGTTTTTTACACACAGTTAATCTAAAATGTTTTTATTGAAACAGCGTAAAACCACTAAGAAAAGTTATTTTATAAAAAAGAAAAAAGAAAGTTATTTTATGATATTTACTTGCAGGTGAGTTGCTGGTAAACAACGTGACAAAATAATATAAAGTTATATTTTCGTAGTATATGTCTTTCTGTTTTTCTGCAGTACACCCAATGAAAAGCTGCTTGGACGTCTTGTCAAGGAAAAGGTTGGTTGAAATGTGTTTCATTAATACATATGGGTGTTTCATTAGGGGTTGGACACTGACTGAAGGGTGGGAAAAAACGTATTGGATCTCTGGGTGGATTTCAAATATAAAAAAGTCATCATTTGATGGGCTGCAGGATTATAATCAGCACCTGTCGGCTGCTTTAATCACAGTGCTCGACATAGCACGGTGATGTAATTATCAAGTTAGCACTATCTAGGTGGAGTTAATATATATATATATATATGTTTTTTTTCTTCTAAAGTAACAGTATGTACAACATAAAGGGGTCTTTATAATCACTGCTCATGATAAAAAAGACTGAGTAATGTTGGCCGATTTTATAATACGTACACAAGGGACATCTTTAAAACATTTATCCTGTAGTGTGGAGGCCGATGTGTCTATAGCTCATTATGTAATGTTAAAGGTCCCCTATTATACTGTTTTTCATCAATATATTATAGGTCTCAGATATATACAAAACATTTCTCTGAAGTGTTTGCCTCCAAATACCAAACAGATCATGCATTGTAGCATCCCATAAACCCCTCTGTTTCAGCCCTGTTTCAAAAGTGCTGATTCTCTGTCTGTTACTTTAGATGAAAATAAGGAGCCACTCCCCACGCCCCTCTGAGAGATATTTGGTTAAAAAGAACACAATGGTGCTCTATAGGGCTGTACCCGAATATTCGTTCGTTGGAGTACTATTCAGTTTTCAATTTCGTTTTTTTTGGCAGCTGCGCTGCACTGCGGCTGCCAAATTGAATTGATTGAAATCTCCAATATCAACGTAAGAGCTTGTGCCTCTTCGGCGGGTGCTAACACTTAACCATAAACTTTATCGTTTACTTTCTCCGTCTTTATATGTATATATGACTTTTCTCCGTTAATCTCCGTCACGTTGTTTCCATAGCAACAACAACTTCCTGTCAACATTGCTAACTCTCCTTCAAAATAAAAGCATGTCCATAAAAAATAGGAAGCCAAGCCAAATTACACTTAAGACATATACAACTGCAACGAAAGTAACAAACACAATGCAATATCCTTTTCATTTTCAAAGAACACAAATTGGGTTACATTAACAAATAACCATAAAACAACAATACTGTAGAATAACAAAATGAATGCCGTGAATAAACCGAAATACACGTGTTGAAGCGGTTCGCTGCTGATTACTACGCACCAAAATCTGATCAGCTCATTTTCAGACAGGTTTTTATATAAATGGATCAGGACAAAAAGTGAGCAAATCTTTTTTCCTGAAACTTTCAGAATCTCTTTAAACGGAGGGGACACATGTTTATGTATAAAAGACATGAAGAAGTGGATTTTGCATAATAGGTGACCTTTAAAATATTCAAGAAGAGAGGAGATATAGTCTTCATTTATCCGTAGATATTCAGAAAGTCTTGATACAAACATCTGTTGTTATTTTACATATTTTCTTCCTCAGTATGATACTGACTTCTATGTGCTGGATAAATACCCCCTGGCTGTGAGACCCTTCTACACCATGCCTGATCCCAACAACGCTGTAAGTCTCTCACTTACTCATACAGCACACACACTTATTGGCTGCATAGTAAGACATCTACAGGAACAAGTGCTATGTAAATCTTTTCAAACAAGTTTTGTGTTTGACCTGAAGTTAAACTCACATTATGGCCAGAGAGCAGCTTTCGACTCGCTACAGATTCTTCAGCCGTCTGTTCTCAGCTGGATGTAAAAAGGCTGATATGCAACGCACAGGATTAAGCTGAACAAGTAAAGCTCCCTGCAGTGAGGTCATGACAAATGTAAAACATGCTAGCAGAGCCACACAAAATGCACTGCTATTTTCTGCTTATATTGTTGATACCTATATGGAAAAATAAACATATTAGTGCCATTTTTTTCAACCAGTTTTCTTGGACATATTCAGCCATTTTGAGCTGTTTGTGGAAATGTGCACCCCTGTGTTCCTGTGTTGATCCAGACTCTTCTTTCAACTTTTTGAAATCTTTATGTTTAGCTGTCTCTGTGTTCGTCCTTTCTTTCTTTTAACAGATTGTTGACCTCATGGGTGATTATTCTTTTATGTTTTTGTCCAGAAATACTCCAACTCCTACGACATGTTCATGAGGGGAGAGGAGATCCTGTCTGGAGCTCAGAGGGTCCACGACGCTCAGCTGCTGACTGAGAGGGCCATGCATCACCAGATCGGTAAGAGAGGCTCTGATAAAGAGGCATCAAGTGACCTGGATATGAGTTCTGTCTCCCTCTAGTGGTCACCAGATTGAATTACAAATGTGTTGAATGGATCGTTTGAGAAGAGTTCAATACATGTCCTTCAGCATCCTGTTTCTTTTTTAATACTACAGATCTGGAGAAGATCAAGTCTTACATCGACTCCTTCCGTTATGGAGCCCCCCCACATGGAGGCGGAGGCATTGGTAAGGATTATCTGTTCAAGCAAACACACTGGAGACAAAGCTAGAATATATTGTATTCCTAGTAATAAGTAAATAATCAAACAAATGACTGTTACTGAAAATAAAAAAGTAAATGGTTAAAAGATTACTTGATTTACCTAACATTTAAGAATATTTTAATTGGTATAAAATACAATTAACCATTAGAATATTAAATTTTTTTTGAGAAAGATAAGAAAAAGTATAATGTATACAGCACACAACATTTCTAATGATCAATCCTGTTAAAGGTGACACCTTAGATGATTGGATGTGCGTATATTTATGTTATAATGTATCTTTTATCAATTTTCCTTTCAACAATATTCGATTAATTAATGCTTATTTATTCAGTCTAACATCTACACATTTTGAATTAAATTTTTTCGTATGATCTGTGAATTTGACATCTCTTGACTTAAAAGGTAAAAGAATAAAAAAATAAACTGGATGTTAAAATGGCTCCAGTTAGGTTTTCTTTAAAAAAATAAAGGTTTTAATTGAGCTGTCATGTCTTCCAGGCCTGGAGAGAGTGTGCATGCTGTACCTCGGCCTCCACAACATTCGTCAGACCTCCATGTTCCCACGTGACCCTAAACGCCTGACACCCTGAAGCCTCAAACACAAAGCAGATGCTGGTGATGGGAAACAATACTAATACAATACCACAATACACATAGAGGGAGAGAATAGGAGCTAGTGCCACCCTATGACTCTAATGTGCCACTAACCAATAAGATGGGAGAATTATGCATTTGCAACAGAGGTGTGTACTTTATTGATAGGTGTACAGGGCTGTCTTACAACAACAAATAACATACAAAAGAGAAAAAGGAGTTGGCTGGTGATTGAAGGAACTTCCTGTAGAGCTGCATACACTTAATCCATCTTTGAATCAACTCAGTGTTTGTCTTTTTCTATGTTAAAAACACGTTAACACAGAAGAGTCCCTCCTACTACCAGCACAGACTAAGGACTAATGATTGTGGTCTCCAGCAGTGTTCCTGTAACTACAGGTGTTTTGTATGTCATAAGAGGACTGAACACAAAATAATAATAAAAACTTCAACAAATACATGGTTCTCAGTTTTTCCATTTTCTCTCATGGCTACATGATGCACGCATGATCTAAAAATACCATTTGAAAATGGTAAATGACAAAATGTTAGAAGAAAAAATCTTAGATAACAACCATTATGCTTAAGTATCCTCATTCACAGCACCAACTTCAAAGTGCTTTAGTGTTACAGACATAAAAAAAATATGTTAAATTCAAAGTTTGGAAATTCACCGTATTAAGCTGGTAGTAAAACATTCTTACTGACGCGCTAGCATTATGACAAACGTCAAAAACCAATATACTGTAAGTCCAAACTGGGTGTGCTCTGACCACGTGGGCTCATTCAGTGGCGGCTCCCCCGACTTGAAGGACGAAGAGGAAGATGTGAACAATGTCAATGTAGAGAGAGAGCGCTCCAAAGATGTACTCCTCTGGGTTGATGGCCAACTCACGGTTTCCAACGAGCAGCTGGGTGTTGTATACCAAAAACTACAACAGAGGGAGAGAAGTAAAAAAGCAGAATTAGAAATATGTGTTAATCTGTTGATGAGAGCAGGATGGTATTACACACAGATGATGTACTTTTTCATTTTTTATGAATCTCACGCATTAAGTGGAATCACATATCATTTGTAGATATTGTAACTGTTACAATAATTGCTCGGGCACACTGTCTGTTTAACACTAGTGAAAGACATATATCTGAACAAAGCTGGCTAGACATTTGACAATTTCTTCCATATCTGAATTAATATGAATGTTTTGTGACAGTGGCATTTCCTTGAGTACCACTACTAGACCAGAGTTTCCATCTATGCACAAAGATGCCTCAAGTTTACATCTACATTAGTGGCTCTGTGAGGCTTAACAGCTGGGCTTTGAGCAAAGTGCTAAAAGGGGCTAATATTTACCATCTTAGCAAAGACATACCTAATTTTGCTGATATACAAAGTAAACCTGAGGCCATGGTAATGCCAATATTTTTGAAAGTTAGTATTGAATAAATACAAATTATGAAATGATGGTGGTAGGAGTAAAATACCACTAGGGCCCTTTAGATACATCCATGTATTTTTGTGCCAACCCATCAACTGGATTTCGAAATATTTTACCTACTACAGGAAAGCCGGGGGGAGGGAATTAAATGTTTTTTTGGGATACACCCCTGGAACAATGAATGTCTCTACACAATTTGACACCAGCGGATCCAATAGTCATCAAGCTATTCTATTTTGGACTAAAGTGAGTGGTGGAAGTAGCTTCTGACAGACAATCCCACCAGTGCCTCAAACTTGGCTAGAGATATTTAAAGATCTAGCAGTAAAATGACAATGAAATTCACTGATCATGTTTAATTAAATGTTGATAAATGTTACTAATGGCCTTTTTTTCTTACACAAAAACCAAAACAAACCTGATGGATTAAGGCTCTAGAAATCCAATTTTCAGCTGGTTGGTAGGTCTCATTTGTAATGATGTGTTTACAACAATAGATACAAGACTCAAAAACACTCTCCTTCAAATTCATGTGAGAGTAAACTCACCAGAGTGTAAATGACGGCTCCAATTGCAGCATAGAGCATATGCAGCCACGGAACCTGTTGAGTGACATAAGAAAGGCCTGTGAATGTGAAATCAGTCACAGAGTAACACCCTACTGAGCTGATATTCCTCACACTGAGAAACCCAGAGTAGAGAGAATACATTTGACCAGAGTCCTCACATATTGGAAAGACAGGACAACGCCGGTAACAATCCCAATGATCATGAGCACAACGGACGCAATGCAGAGAAGTCCCCCGCAGGAGGTGAAGTCCACCTTTGAGGAGAAACAAGTCATTAACGGGATGAAAGTAAAGGTAATAGGCTTCAAGCCACATGAAAGAGCAGTCAGAATCATTTGAAAGAAGTTCAGAATATATAAGAAGTGTTATTCGGTAGATATGTCATGTTCCATGCAAAAAATGTAATTCATTCATCTGCAGTTGCATCAGACAGAGAAGTTGGATTCACATCTTATCCTGAAATGTTATAAATATTTAAAGGAACCCAGTGCCCCATTGTAACGCGAGACAAAGGAGTTCTTTTACACTGACAACAAAGACATCCTCTGACAGGCCACGGGCTACTGAGCTACAGAGAGGCGCAGTTCACATCTACATCTACCTTGGTTTGGAAGCAGAAGATTGTGACAGCGATGCAAACTATTGCTGTTATTCCCATGGCCAGAAACACTGCCTTTGTTTCATAATAGCTGTAAAAGACACATAGCGATCAAAACATAAAATATCAGGGTGAAATCATCAAATATGGACTGTTTATATTGCAGTTTATTGCTTGAACTGGAGTGCAAAAACAAACCTCGAAATGGTTCCAGACATGTAAGACAAGGCCAGAGTCTGCAACATAAAACATGAAAGAAAATGTTGTGTTTTTTCTATCTTACTGCCTTTCTTTGTTTGGTTTTTATTGTTCCAGTTATATTGTGGTTTTAGTTTATCCATATCGATCTGTTAGATCATACACACTCTAACAAAGAATACTCACAAATACCCCCAGCAGCACAAGATTCCATGGGAATCGCCTCCTGAACAACAATGGTGTAAAATATGAATAAAACATGACATTATCAGTAGTAAAATGATTTTCTCACTGGATCAGTAATGTCAGGACATGCTTACCTCGGTCCTTTGCAGCAGACAAGAATGCAGTAAACCATAAAATATACCACACTATGGAGGAAAAAAAACACTATTAATGGGATTGTATTTAACAGCATGCCATGGAAGTACAGTGATGTTTATGTAAAGGTTTAAATCTAATTGGACTGAAAATTGTAATGTTTTTTGTTTTTTTTCCTAGAGTGTAACTCACAAAGATGCCCAGTAGATGCCAGGATATCTGATGACAAACAGCCTCACTGGTTTACTATGACAGCAAAGACATAGGGATTACTCAGAGTGAAATGCTCCTCACCAACATCAGATACATTAAGCTTTGGAATATATTATACTGCATACAATGAACAGGGACACTTACACAAATGTAAAGACAGCGACAACTGAAAAGGTGACGGCAAGCTGTGCTGTTAAAATCAAGTAAACCTGCCCACAAACACAAAACCAAGCAGTTCTGTTGAGCACACAAGAACACATTTCAGTGGCGTAAGCCTACATGATTCATTATTGGCACTGAGAACAACAGAAACACTTATGATAACAAATATATATATATTTACCTTTCTAATGAAGGAATGCCGAACAGCTGTGCTTTCCCACTGCGAGCTCATAAAGTCATCCATGTCTCCTGCAGAATTGGGATAGTTAAATGATCATTTATACTTATTAAATGTGGAAGTTATCTAAATATAATGCATGGTTTCATCAACAAAGTCTTGTAACATATCCACAGAACCTTGGTCTGATGCATGCACTCCGGCAGACAGAGTCGGTATTGTGGTGGGCCTCCGAGATGGAGAGTAGCCAGGGGCTGCCCACGTCCCGGCCTGCGGGTAGACGCCTTCCTGGCCCCAGTAGCCTGGAGGGCCGGGGCTGGGGCTGTAAGATGGAGGTGGTGGAAGAGGGGAGCCATCTTGCTGTTGGGTGGGGTAGTTTCCATACTTAGGTTGGTGAACTGCATCCTCGTAAGGTGGAGGATCATCAGTTTTAGAAGTCATGATCTTACCCTGTTGAGAGGATAAGTGGTGATGAGCAGAATTATACATGTCATCAACAGGTGGCATATTGACAATAGAATATAGTGTACAGTTCTGTTATTATGCTGCTGTGTTTATTGTATCTTTGTAACTCTGGCACAACAATTTCCTTCAGGATAAATAAAGTCCTATCTTATCTTATCTTACAAGGTAAGCCATAACATCTAACTTACTACTCATATCTGTTCATACTGTTATACATAGTTATTAAATGAAATGTTATCTACCCTTATACTTTCATTGTTATAATAGCTCAATCAAATAATGTGCAAAAAAACTACAACACAACCAACAAAGGTGAACTTTTTTGTTTTATATATGTGCTGGACCAACTCTGCATGTGAACAAATACATACACCATATAAAACAACCTATTGGTGGTTAACAAATTCTATGAGGACAATGATGGAAATAAAAACATGCATCAACCTATAAACTATAAAAGAAAGAAATTGTACTCACCTGTTGGCTTTAGCCTGAGATGGGATCAGTGGCACCTTCGTCCTTTCTCTCTTGGGGTATGCGGTCTTAAGCTTCACCACGGGAGGATGGCATCCCTGTAATAGGATACGTTCACTGAAACTTACACTGATGTGTTTTAGAAAGCATAGGCACTCCGGTTGCTCAGGTTCCTACTCAAAATAATAAAAATACAACTGAAAAACCAACACCACAGACTGTCCTACACACAACTAGGTAAAACATCTCCTAACAATGAGTTAATTTTTACCATGTTAAGCATTCTTCCTGAGGATTTTTTTTTACAAAATCATATTCACATCTTAGTTGACCCAATTGTTGACTGTATTGTCGGACTTAGAGCTGTAGCCTATAAAGTTAACCAATGTCATAGCAGGAATGTTAAGTGTTGCTATATTATTTAGAAGTCTACTGAAACAGGCTTGATTCCATATTGACGTCATACTATGAATTCATTATTTAATTAAGGTGGAATTTTGTTGTAGCATACATGTATCATTCTGTATAGATTAGTAACTTTAACGCAGGGCTAATATTAAAACAAACATGTTTTTTTTTAACAGGGTTAATTAAGCTCAAAATAATTTCTAAAAATGAATGTGTCATAGAGAGAAACAACAACAAAAAATGTTGGGGGAAAAAAGGAAAAACATTAGAAGTACTTTGAAGCGAAACCACAGTGCATCTTTTGGAAGCCAATTTCCACCATTTACTATCTCATTATTATTATTTAATTATCTAATCATTATTACTGCTATCTGATGTGTGTTTTTTTTTTGCTCTAATAATAATCTAGATAGTGAGTCTTTTTTAAGAACGCTTCTCATTATCTTATGATGCAAAGTCATCATTTTGAGACAGTTTCTCAGAATTACGTTTTACTATTTTTACCCTTTTGGTGGCAAAAATTAACTTCCATAGGTTTTGGATGTGAGATATAAAATAAAATAAACATGGTTTACAATTGCAACAGTATTGCTTTATTTTCTTAATTATTCTTTAACATGGCTTTCAGAGTCTTCAAAGAAAAAAATAGAAAAAGGGACAGGTGCATACAGAACCCAATAATAAACATAACTTCACAAGACATTAAAGGAATTAAATAAATTAAAGTATTTACAACAAAAGGCTAGGGCTTTTTACATCAATTGTATTTTTTGTAATGTAGCCTACTTAACAGTTTTATTTATTTTTAATTTTTTATTATTTTAAGGTCTTTAAGACAAATTAAAAAATTCATTATGAAAACGATATCGCTTTATTGTATTTGTTTGATTTATCTCCTCGCTTCCGGGGTGTGCGTGTCCCATGACACGTCATTACGTTCCGCTTAGGGGCTATGGCGCTTCCTGACTGGATGGTAACGCTGGTTGCCACCGCATCCTTCTTCTGTTTCTTATGTTTATGTGTTCGCCACAGACGCAAAGTACAAGTGCTCTGGAGAAAAGTATTCAGCAACATAATGGCCCGCACAGAGAAGCCGTTGTTCCGAATCGCGTGAGTATATTATGACCTTCTTAATATAAACATGTTTAGTTGTCATTGCAGTGATTCTCGCTAGCGTAGCTGAGCAACATCTTGTCATTCTTATTCAGAGGCCGACCCACCGGACTGTATTCAATTATTCTCCACATTTAAGCCACTTTGCCAGTCGTCAAAAGTTCTACCCCTGACAGTCTGGTCGAAGCATTTCCATAAACGACATCAGTCACTGTTTTATTTGGCGTACATACAAACAGTAAAGTCATATCTGCAAGATCAGATTCTTCTGCATGATCTACTACTATCTTGTGCTGCTTTGGTAGAACACACTCTGATATGTTTTGGTATTTTATCCTATGGTTTTACTGGTGTAGCTAGTTAGCACTTTGGCCATACTACATTTACTGCAGTGGTGGAATGTAATGAAGTATATTTACTCAAGTATTGTGCTTGAGTACCATTTTGAGATATTTGGGCTTTACTTTAGTATTCCAATTGTATGCTACTTTATTATTATTCTACTGCACTACATTTCGAAAGCCAATAATTTACTTTTTACTACACTACATTTATTTGACAGCTTAAGTTACTAGTTGCTTTTTAGATCTAGATCATTGGTTTAAACAAATCAACTAATAACTAAACATATTATATAAGTTAGGGTATTCAGAAGCAGTATACCATATATTTCGAATTAGCTCTACATTTACGATTTGTTATAAACCCATTAATGCATCAATGATCTGAATCTCTAATGTAATGTTATGATTCTGAAATGGGCCACTAGGCATAATGTGTACTAGGCATTTTGGTACTTGAGCATATTTTGAGGCCAATATACTTTTGTACTGTTACTTAAAGGTGGGGTAGATAAGTTTGAGAAACCGGCTCGAGATACACTTTTTGTTATATTCCATGGAATGCTCTTAACACCCCGATAGCAATGAAGTGCTTTGACAAAAAATCCATAAAATAATTTCATCTGTGGAAGCCGTAGTACTGTAAAAAGCACGACCAATCATTTTAGCCGGCCCGGCTAAAATAACTGGATGGCCTACCTGCCTGTCAGACTTCCATCTGTGCACAAACTTATCTCGTGCCCTCATTGGTCATGTGCGCGTTCGTGTGTGTTGGAGGAGGGGCTCTGTAAGGAAGTGGCAGATTTTTTCCGGCTGTGTATTTTCAAATTTTAGCGCACTCGAGCTGGTTTCTCCAAAATTACCTACCCCACCTTTAAAGGGGACCTATCATGCAAAATGCACTTTTGTACGTCTTTTATACTTGAATATGTGTCCCCGGTGTTCCAGGGAACTCACCAAGTGTCAGAAAACACAACCCTCTCTATTTTCCTCCATACCCAAATCTCTAAAAAAGGGGCTGCAACAGATCTGATAAAAACTGATCCAGATTTTAACACTGTCCTGACGTTAGGACAGTGGCGCTACGGCTATTGGGCCAACTCCACCAATCAGGAGGAGACAGCCACGGCCATTGCCGTTCGAAAGCGCTGGAGACACTGTAGTACATATGCCAGGCCTGTAGATGGTGCTGTTCTCACATAATCTGCCCTTGCAAAAACAGAGCTAAAAAATGTCAAATTGAGCAAAATGAGTACTTTTAGCACCACTGTACATTTTTAGATGTTTCACTCGGGTACGCGTGACCTCCTTGTCATTTAGAAAGATGATAACTTCATGTTGTGGTTAGGTTAGCATTATTAATGCTTGCCACTTAAACCTGTGAACTATTTCCCAGGTACACACTCTACACTAAGACCAGACTTGGCTACTTGTACTACAAGAGACAAATGAGGAAAGCCCGAGAACAGTACCCTGCTGGACACTCCACATCTCAGCCAATGGAGTTCAATGGTAAGCAGTAGTCTGGATTTCCAGGTTACTTTTTTTATACAGTGTTGCTCTTACTCCTTAATTTTTGTAAGACGGTTGTTTGTTCAAACCAAACACAGTGCATGTGGTGTACATTATAAAAGTATATTGTGTTATTGTCAGTGCAAATGTGCTATCATTTAATTACATACTATTAACATTATTTGTTAACTTTATCATACATGCTAATAGTCTATTTTGATCATTCTAAATAAATAAGGTTTAATATTGACCCAAATACTTAATTTTTTTATCCTTATTTGTCTGCCCGCAGATATTAAAATTATTCCCATTCCGGTGCTCTCTGACAACTACAGCTACCTTGTGATCGACACAGCCTCCAGTGTTGCAGTCGTTGTAGACCCTGCAGACCCTCAAAGAGTTCAGGTGAATGCCTGACATCTCTAGATGTGTGCATTGTGTTTATGTAACACTTTAAAGACTCTTTTGTCTGTAAGGTGCTTTTATATCCATGAAACTATGCAGATCCTCTGCAATTACACATCCATGTTTGCTGTACACACTGCCAAAGAAAGTTATAACATTTCTAGATCTCCTTGCAACACCATGGTGGTTTGAAATAAATGGTTGCTTTCAAATTCAGTTAAATTATGTAGGTTTACCACACCTCTGAAGTGCTGCCAAGGGTGAGATATCAACGTTATTGCATTCTCAGAAGCATCCATTACAATCCCACTAGCAACATTGCCATTGCTGTACTGTGTCAATAGACTGAAATATTTTGCAGCTCAAAAGGCTTTTGAATAAAGTGTTCCTGAGGTTATCTTTAATATGGTAATTGAAGGTTGTGACAGCATTTGTAATCTTTCAGGCAGTTCTTGAGGAAGAGGGAGTGACTCTCGAAGCAATACTCTGCACACACAAGCATTGGTGAGTTTTTGTATAAAAACACGAGGAGCAATGCACAATATTTGAATGTGTCCCCAATACTGGCAAACGTCAGCTTTCTGTTCTCTTTACAGGGATCACAGTGGGGGAAACAAAGGGTTGAAAAGGATTCACAGCTCATGCAGAGTATACGGAAACGCCGCTGATAACATTCCTGGCCTCACGCAGTAAGTCACCGCTCACACGGCTTTGCACAGAATC